GTTGGCTACGCCGGGATTCGTTTTCAGCAAGTAGATATCCACACAAGTGGACCTTGTTGGAGCATACGTAATCCTAAAATGTAGCATCGTGCTACAGATGGCGTTTACAGCGCCATTTGTAGTATTTTCTAAAACGCACTGTTAAGACAGCAGGTAAAAGTTGGTCTGTGTTCTGTCGACGCGCTGATGAGATCCAAAAAGATCGAAATAGCGATCCGCGTCTGGCAGTTTTGACAGAATACAGACCACTTCGAATCATTTTAACCATCTTTTAATTTAAAAATTATAAACGTCTAGATGTAAGTAAATAAAACTTGGTTACAAATGCAAATATTTTATCAAATAATAATTAAACAGTTTTCAGTATTTATAATCACTAACTCTAATTTATTTACTATTTCCTGTATTAGTAAGGACTATTTCGTGATGTGTGATTTTTAATTTATTTGAAATTGCAGTTATTAAGCAACTTCTCGTTAATTGACAAGCGAAGTACAAAGTAATTAGTTACCGTTCGAATAAGTGGTCTCATCAAGGCCTCGCCCGATAATTTGCACGCCTGCCGCTTATTAGTTTTGGCTGAGGAGCCGAGCGGCTGACTATCTTCTGCTTCCTCTCTCAATCTTCGTTTATCTCTCCACATGCTAACTGACTGAACAGGGCGGAAATCGTTCAACAGAAACTACACTTCTCGCATCCAAAATCCAAACTGATTTATTCCCGAGGATCCTATGCTGCTGAACCTTGTCAGAGGTATTAAATTAGATTTTGGAACATCTGCCTCTCTCTTTGTGTTTTGATTTAACGTGAATTGGATAAGTTTCTAATATCAGACGAAATAATACATGATACGTAGGTGCTAACTTTTCCGAATGTTCGTGAACATTCACCAATTTTACGTGTTCGCAATACTCTAGATCTCGAATGTATTATTCTCCAACTTGATATTGATGGGTCAGCGTATTGCAAATGCTCTACTCAATGCAATTTCAAGATTTTAAGTATAAGTCCTCAGTTTGAATCGAATAAGAAAACTTGTAGGCATAATAGCTTACCTGTTGTTTTATGAAGGGTTTTTAAATATTAATAACTTATTTCGATAATTGACTTTGCTTCTAATAGAATAATCAATTGAATTTGGATTTTAAATACTACTGTTTCATTAAAAATGAACCCTAAGATAAAGAAATATTGTCTAAAAATAACAGTGGATAACGGGAAGTAAGATAGGATGAAATCATCTGTTACCCTGCATTGTTATAGTTCCCATTCGTTATTTTATTAATGAAATATGAGATGAAAATTTTAGCGTTATTTTGACGTGCTCGATAATGTACGTAGGTAAGTAATACATAGGAGAATTTAGGTCGATACCAGCAGTTGATTGATCGGAAAACATCTGCCGGGACGGAGTAAATTTATAATTAAAAGGTAATCTCGTTAAATACTAATCGATAAGTCATTCGGTAAGAAGGGGTTGACTTGACATCTT